AGGGAGGGGGGAGGGGGACGGGGAAGGGGAGGGAGGGGAAGGGGAGGAGCAGGAGGGGGTGGAGGGGGAGGGAGGGGAAGGGGAGGAGCAGGAGGGGGTGGAGGTGGAGGTGGAGGGGGAGAGGAGAGAGAGAAGGGATGGGGAAGGGGAGGGAGGGGGAGGGGGAAGGGATGGGGAAGGGGGGGGGGAGGGGCAGGGGGTGGAGGTAGAGGGGGAGGAGCAGGAGGGGGAGAGGGAAGGAGCAGGAGGGGGAGGGGGTATTTACTAGAACCTTCTAAACCCCGCCGCTAAAACCATTCACCTCAGGAGCACCTGGCGGGTGTTCTGGATCAACGGCTCGTGGATGACGTGGCAGGTGAGGAGGATATGATGATGTGGGAACGAGAAGGGAGGGGGGAGGGCGGAGGGAGGGGAGGGGGGTGAGAGATTTCCAAAAAGGGAGACGAGAGAGGAGAGGGGAGGAAGGGATTGGGGGGGATTCGCAAGATGGTTAGCTCGGGGGTTCACTCGTCGGGGGCCACAGTCAGCGCTCTGAATGCCGCTGCTGCGCCGCATTTCTATGAAGGCCTGAAGGGGGCCGAGTGGTGGTTTTTTTGCCATCTAGGGGCGGCAGGCGTTTGTGGCGGAGTCGCAGCTCTGTGGGGCCGGGCGGGGCTCTGTCCTTTCTGGGGTTTACAACCGGGGGGGGGAGGGGAGGAGGGGGGATTTGAGCCGTCGCAAACCGTGGTGTGGGTGTGTGTGGCAGTTGTACTTTTGTAGTTTGTTGTTGATTTTTCCATTCCCACCGCCGCCCGCCTCAATGTCATGTATGATGCCCCCCGTGGTCTTATGGGCCCGCAATGCTAAATAGGGGTTGTAGCAGGGGTTGTAGCACATGAGGGTGTGTGCCGTACACGTACGGTTGTGCCTCCGGCCTACGACTCTCTCCTTGCTGTCTCAACCCCCTCGTTTTACTGGAGCTCCTCCCGCCGCCCAAAAATTATGTATGTATGTACGTATGTACGTACGTATGTATGTATGTACGTACATACAAAACTCGGACTCAAGCGATATCATCTCTGGAGGAGCTGGAGATCTGGAACGTGTACGGCACTGACTGGAACTTGCAACACACCGACTTTACACCCCTGGCTCGGTTGACTCGGTTGAGGTGAGAGGGTGGCGTGTGTGTATGATGTGTGGGACAGGGGGCTCATATCTTCACCCTGCGGCCGCTACCCGGCAGACCCTCTGCCTTCCCCGCGGGTATTTCGGGGCACCCTCATCCAGTCACCCTAGTCAACTTTTCAGTGGATCGCTCAGGTTCCGCACCCACCACCAGCATCCAACGGAATCTGCCGGGTCGACAGCGGCCCAACTCCATTCCTGGTCAGCTCGCAGGTCAACTTTATACCAGGTCACCACCGTCCATCGACTAGGGGCACTATTACCTTCAATCATTGGAAGGATTTCCGACCCTGACAGGTCTCGATCCCGGGATCTCCCGGGGGCATTAGTATGTGCCTTATCAGTAGTGCCTGACCTAGGTATAGTGTGCTGTATGCATTGAGGGATGGGGGGGTGGACTTATGGATTTATGGACATGAACTATGGACGTGTACTAAGGTGTATTTCTGTACACAACAGATTGAATGACGTTTCCCCCCACCACTGCCGTACTGCCGTACAGGTCCCTGAAGATGGAGGCGTTGCCGCCTTTCATGGCCTTCCGCATCCGCCGCATCATGCGGGAGGGTGTGCCGTACTGCAAGGTGTGTTTTGTGTGGCCCGTTGTCCCCTCCTGCATGCTCCCTATACCGCCTGCCTCGTTCCCCACACCCGCACCTCTCCAAAGCCCCTTTAGTCATCAGTGTACGGCATTCACGTAGCCGATTCCCCCCCACCTCTGATGATCTCAATCATCATTATCATCATCGTCGTCATCATCACCATCATCATACATCATCATCATCATCATCATATTTATATTATTATCACCATCATCAGCATCGTCATCATTACCATCATTAACATTATCACCATCATTATCGTCATCGTCATCATCATTGTTCAATCCCTCCCCTCCCCCGCATTTCCCCCCCCCCCCCCCGTCACATACATCCGGAATGTGTCATCAGGTACGTCTGGTGGCGGACAACGAGATGCCCCCGGAGGCACTGATGCCCCTCCCGGCGCTGGTGGCAGCTGCAAATGCAGGTATGGCTGCGGCTGTAGCGGCTTTGCAGCAACAGCAACAACAGCAACAACATTAAATCCAACAACAACAAGAACACCATCATCAAGAACAACAACCCTAGCAGCAGCAGCAACAGGGGCTGCTGGGGGGCCCGGCGGTGGGTAGTGGGGGGGGGAGGGGGAGGAGGAAATGGTGGTGATGGTTAACCAAAGTGACGATGGTGAAGTGGTGAAGAAGGTTGCGATGGTATGTACACATAGTATAGAAGGGAAGTCCCCCTCCCCCTAACCCCCCCAAACCTCCCACCTAAACTTTGAGTGGCCGGGCTCCGATACTTCAACATGTCGCAGCGTCGTACAGCTGCAACGATATGTAGTACAGCTGGCAGGGTAGGGCAGGAGGCCGCCAAGGGTTGGCGTACCCGGGCCTTTTGGCCATTGTACTGATTCGTACACATTCGTACACATTCATGCATATATTTCAGGTTGTAAATGTGGGTGTACGTATGCATGTATGTGGGTTGGGAGCGACATGAATGTCACCACCACGTACGGCGGTACAACTCGGATGCTCCTTATCGGGGGCTGGTGGGCCGCGGGTGGGGAGTGGGGGGTGCCGTGGTGGTGTGTGGTGTGTGCTGAACGGTGTGAAGCATAGCGAAGGTGCGGATGGCTTTGGAGCAATGTTTGTTGTACGATGTGTACGATTGAGTATTGGCAGGTACGGGCGCAGACAGACAGATAGATAGAGCGAGCGAGAGGGTCAGATGGAGGGAGAGACAGGGGGGGAGAGAGAGAGAGAGACGCGCAGGCTGGCGGCGATAGTGGGCAGAGAGGGGGATGCAGAGCGGCACCTGCGCAATTGGTTTCTTGGACGGTTTTCTCCTTTTTTTGGTTCACATACAGAGTATAGACATCCGCAGTTGCAGCCGTACCAGTAGCAGCAATGGCAGTAGGAGCGGGGCGGTGAATCGCCATTGCGCAGTTGTTTTTCAGTCCGCTTCATTACAATCACGATTGATTAGTCTGCCATGAAGTATTGGGTCTATCTCTATGTGTGTATATGTCTGTGTGTGCATGTCTGTGTGTGTACGTCTGTGTGTGTGTTTTAATGATCTTCGGAGCCGCGACGAGGGATATTATGCCGAATATGGTGGGGTGGCGCTGTGAGGTAGTGGAGGGGGGTGGCAGCGGGGACGGCCCATAACGGGAAGGGCCGCGGGTATGTGGCCCTATGACAGGCACGTCCGGGGGGCAGGGCGGGGGGAGGGGGGGAAACCCCTCGTGGGAACTCCCCCCACAGCGTCCTGCTGGGGCCCAAGTGTGTATTGGCACGATTCTCATGATTCGCACACCGGGGTGCCGTATTATGTGTGTGTGGATGTTACAGTGGGCTCCAGATTACGTGCAGTGTGCTTGGAGCGTTTGAGCGCAACACCGTACTGTTACTACATTCTCGTGTAGTTGAGTAGAAAGCTAGTGTGCATGGCTCCTGTAGTTGTTGGTTGGTTGTTTCCGTACACACATGTTTCTAAGGATTGTCGTTTGACGTTGTGCATGTCGTACATAGTCGCCAGAGAAGTTAAAAGTTCGAGATAGACGAGGGTCTTAGCATCATAAGACGGAAGAGGGGGAAAGGATTCGTGGGGGGAGGGGAAGATTTATTGTTCGCTGGTGAATGCTTTGTTTGTTTGTATGTATGTATGTCGGCGAGATAGAGCAGAGAACGGACGTGGTGACAGACATATTCCGATATGTAAATCACGTGGCAGATTCACGAGTTCGGACCTGATTAGACAGCCTGGAGAAATTGATATTGAAAACCAAACAAATATTACAATTCTGCCGGTTCGGGGTCTACGTATCGACTTATTGGTGCGCGAGCTGCCGACTTGCGGCCGAGGATACTCCCCTTGCAGAGCCTTACAGCCCCCTACCCTAGGCCAACTTTTACGGCTGTTTGTCAGCGGATCACGCTGCTGAATGCAAACCGATGGTCCCAGCCCGCGCCCTATTCCTCAATAGCTAGCGTGCCCATCATCCAGTCAGTTACATGTCGTTCCTCCTATTTCGTTGCAAGGCAGCTTTCTCCTTTATCTAGCAAACAACATCAACATAACCCATCTTGTCAAATCCGTATCATCAAACAACTTTATTTTCCTCATCCGGAAAATTAACCTTATTCACACAGGTATACTATATGTTTTAAATTCTCGTCCACCGACCAGCCGTGCATCCACAGGGTTGCTGCGTGCAGATCGATGCAGATGGTGTATGTGGCTGCCTCACCGCTCGCGGTGAATGCCCGTGCCACCGCCTACTCACCACCTGCCGCAGCCACCACCACCTGGTCACTGTACCAGCTACGCATCATACGCACACACATACATACTTACATACATATATTGAGGAAAACCCCTATCCAAGGAGTCCACGATTCAGAACAACTGCCTCCTGCTGCAATCCGAGAACCAGGTTCACCACTCGAGCTCGATGACTCGATAACAATCCAATCGCCACACTGCTCGCCGCTGCATCGATCGCATTATCGTCCACGGCCACGTGGTCGCAATCAGAGCTAGCTATACCTAATTCTCGATATAAAGATCTAATTCACGTATAGCAAGCAAGAGGTATATAGCTCTACTAGTGACCATCAGCGCCCCAAGTTTCCCAATCGGCCAATGGGAAGAAGAGGGGTGGTATCCACGGGATGTGTTCAGCAAGCAGTACATGAATATACTGGTATACTACCCCCCATTCGACAACCCCACGCACCCACAGTGTGATGAGGCGCGGCCGTGATGATGACGCCGTGTACTACTGCTACGTAAAATACGGCGTATTTGGATGGGTGCAAAGTTGCCTCCCAAGTTGCCGGGGGCCACGGAGGCTAAGCTGGTCTTTAAACGCGTGTGCACGCACAACTAATAATACATAAAACCATACGTGGCCAAACAAATGGGTACCAGTGCGAGTCATGATGATTTGTTACGCATCATCAGCCGCTGGAAAGTTCGGCCAACGTCATCCTTTTGCTGATGGTTGGTTGGTTCGTTACCACGTGCTATTAGTACTGCACAATCACATGTACGAAACGGAGGCAAATTCAGACCTAGCTTCCCTCGTACAATATTCAGCAGTTCGGGCCCGCTACTGCAGCGCATACATACTTTTAGGTTTTCACCATGAACGACTACTGGCTGGCGGGGGGAGGGGGTACGCGTCGTATACAATGAAACCATGGTTTGTAAGAGGAATGAAGCCCGCGGCCAGCAAGCTTGTGTCGCTCGATGGAATGCAAGAAGCTTGGGAACAGGTCGCGACGCAGCGTTTACGGCGCTGCGTATACATGTTGACCTAGCTATATATGTTGGCTGCGTCTCGCGAATTGTATCCACATCTGCACGTGTAAATTCGCGCATGTATGTCCACCGAAAGAAGACACGTATTCATTCCCTGTACGACATAGCATATTGAACAGCAGGACAGGGGAATGAGGGAGAGCGAGAGGAAATTATAAAACCAAGTACCAATGGCCCCAAGGGCATATGGTTAGGAATGAATCATCGCTAGTAGCTTTTTGCACGAGCCGCCGCACACACACACAGACACACAGACACACGCACACGCACACGCACACGCACACGCACACGCACACGCACACGCACACGCACACACACACACGCACACACACACACACACACGCACACACACACACAGACACACACAGACACACACACGCGCACACACACACAGACACACACACGCACACACACACACACGCACACACACACACACGCACACACACACAGACACACACACACACACGCACACACACACACACATACGCACACACACACACACGCACGCGCGCACGCGCGCACGCACACACACACACGCACACGCACACACGCATCACGATCTATCTGCGGTCCCTACATACCTAATAATAGTATTATACCACCTACCAGGGCGGCTGGACGATCTATTACGCAATTCTATTATAACACTACTATAACACTATTATAACACTATTATAACACTATTATTATACAATACTATTATCGGACGATAGATGGTCATCAAACATAATATACACCCATGCCAGCCACATCGTATCCACAATATGACCTACCTGCTGGTTAGCATCATTATATGCTGCAATAGCTATTTTGGATCAATTATATCCTTGTTCATTGAAGGGGTTGCTCGTCCAAGTTGGCAGAGAGGCCACAGCATTGATGGTGTCCTGGGTCACAGTGAAATTCCACTTCTGATAGAACGGGACTAGATTGACACCTGCAGCAGCCGCAGCAGCCGCAGCAGCCGGGGGGAGGGAGGGGGGGAGGGAGGGGGGGAGGGAGGGGGGGAGGGAGGGGGGGAGGGAGATAGATAAGCAGCTCACAGGATTAGTGATGGGGGGGCAAGTGGGCGAGTGAGCGAGGTGTGGCGCATTCATCAGGCTGCTGCTGCGTGGCGCGCTTGTGGCAGGGCGTGATGAACATAAACAAATTTGTTTATATTCATTTAAAGGAGAAGTAACAATGATATATAGTGAACGCGGCCTTCTGATGTATGTCCTACGCATGTATGTCTGCATGTATGTCATCGTTGTATGCCGTACTAGCCCACAGCCTCCTGTTGTATGGGTCAGCGGCTAGGGCACCAGCTGGCTACACGCGAGGGAAACATCGACACGTCAGCCTAGATCTTTGTGTAGTACGGTAGCTGCCGTATAGTACGGCACACAAAACGTCGACGAACATGCGCAAAGTCGCTCTGCCGGCATCTCCAGAGGCCTTTTGAGCCACCAGCTTCTACATCTACATGCAGCAGCAGCCGCAGCAGCAGCCGCAGCAGCAGCCGCAGCAGCAGCCGCAGCAGCAGCCGCAGCAGCAGCCGCAGCAGCCGCAATGGACCTGCAGCCCTCTGAGAGACCCAACCCTGCTTCCTTCTGAAGCCTCCGTACGACGCCGATCGAAACACCCACCAGCCAATTTGCTGCTCGTCTGTATCCAGGTCTGCACGTTATCGGCCTACAACAAGCAAAAGGCGTCATCACACACGTGGCTTATTCAGGTTTATAGATAGGAAGATGAGTATGCATGTATGTATGTGTACACCCTAAACGTACCGATCATGTTGTGCACCCACGTCTACAGATACTCTACACATTTAGCTACCCCTATATGTGCAGCAGCTGCTGGCCGCCGATGATAAGGCCTCTCAACAAGATGCTGCTAGCGGAGCGCCTTTGCGCGTATTTGTAGACGTCATGTGTGCCGTACTTTGTACGACCTACTACGATATGTCATGTTAGGCGGGTAACGTGCGTACGAAATGTGCGAAAATAGTAAGCAGCAGCTTGCCATGCACCGCCATACACCGACCGGAAGCGGTAGGGGCATCTGTTGGTAGGCAATGTACAGCCTGCGGTAGAAGATCCAGCCAAATTCCTCCTTCAGCTGCGTCGTTCGTACACGCCGTACCGTAGCGCCGTACCATACCGCCGTACCGTAGCGCCGTCGACAAGGGCACGCGGCAATGCGTCAGGGGGACCTCAGTGTTAACCGGGTTGCACTTGGTTGCAGCGGGCGGAGCGGCTGCCTTGGTACACCGGATACACACAGCGACAGGTTTATATAAAGCGATGAATAACGGCGCAGGCAATGCATTTGGCCGAGACATTCAGCAAAGACATACAAGGCAACTAATATTAACAATATTAACAGCACACATACACACACATACACACACATACACACACATACACACACATACACACACATACACACATACACGCACATACATACATACATACATACATACACCTCCTGGTGTACGCTGCATCATGCTCTGGAGTCCGCAATAATAATATTTTTTGTGATAAGCGCGGTAGCTGGCCGCTGAAAAGGCCTCCCAAGATATGCTGCTGGTCACGCACTTTGCGCGTATTTGTAGTTGTTATGTCAGCCGTACTGTGTACTACAGCTACTACGCCCCTCCTGAGTAAGCACCTTGGCGGTTGCCTTACTGCTGACGGTTGTTGCTAACGGACCTAACGACATTTCGGTTGGCTCATCGAGTCGTACAATAAATAATCATCATAAATACACACCCAGGCAGTGGCAACGGAGAACCTACACCGCACGTGTAAATGCATAGCATATGCATGACGCGGAGATCATCATCCATTATCATTATTATCATTATAATTGTTATTATTATCATTATTATTATTCATATTATTATTATCATCATCATTATTATTATTATTATTATTATTATTGTTATTATTGTTATTATTATTAGTTATTATTATTATTATTATTATTATTATCATCACGTCATTCGTTCTTACTGACCGACAGGTAGCTATCCAGAGCTACCCATACGTTCCAGTCTCGCGCCCAGTTAGCACCATCGGCGAAATACTTGGCGCGAAGTGCGGCACGCCCCGTCGGTGAAACGTTGTCCCAGTTGGCCCAGGCCGTTGGGGGCACACCAGTCCTCTCCTGCACGCGCGGCATGTGTATGCATGTGTGGGACAGGGGGGTCATATCTTCACCCGTAGCAGCTACCCTGCGAAACCCTGCCTTCCCCGCGGGTATTTCGGGGCACCCTCATCCAGTCACCCCAGTCAACTTCTCAATGGATCGCTTAGGTTCCGCACCCACCACCAGCATTCAACGGAATCTGCCGGGTCGACGGCGGCCCAACTCCATCAAATTTATCCCGGGTCACCACCGTCCATCGACTAGGGGCGCAATACCTTCCACCATCGGAAGGATTTTCGACCCTGACAGGTCTCGATCCCGGGATCTCCCACCGTGGTTCCCTTAACCAATAAAACTTCAAAGCATATATAGCACCGCCGTATATGCTAATTATCAATTACATGAAACTGCGTGCTACTGTTATTATCCGCTCTACTTGTAGTGTATGTTGGTGGTGGTGGCCTTAGTGCCACCACCGAGGATGTATTTATGATTGGTTTTCCGCCGGATAGCGATATCGGTCCATCGATGGGGGGGAAATAAGCGCATTGGAAGGGCTTTTGCCGTTTAGGAAGTCGGCTGGGGCTACCTTGCCGATAGCAATAGGTAAGACATGTAAATAAACCTGCCGGTGCAGGACGGACCGTCCGCGGCGCCGCCAGATAGATAGCTGGATGATGACAAACAGCGAAAACCCTCATCACGGATAGGTCTAGCACAGGTAAAGAGCTCACCAGCACATACACGGTGAAGAGGTTGACAAAGCTCTCGGTGGTTCCGGAGAACTGCATCTCGCTCCATTGGTGGTTGTGCCCCAGCTCGTGGTAGGGGCCCCATGCGCCCTTAGCCTGCACATGCATCCATACATGTATGTACATACATACATACATGTCAGCTCTTTTCAACACATCATACAATTGGTAAGCGAGGAAGAGAAGCCGAGGGCACAGCCATGTACGGTGAGGCAGGCAAAAGGTGTTCATTAAGCAAGGCACTCCATTACTATACCGTACGTTAACCACCGTACCGTACCGTACCGTACAAACATCATTATTGTTGCCAGTAGTGAGCAATCAAACAGCATTGGCATACAGACAGACATGATATGCAATAATCTAATGTAATGTAAAGTAAGTATGTATGTATGTGATGTGCTGCCGTGCTGGCGAACACGCACATAACGCATGCAGCGCCCGCGTACCTTTAATTGGGCTACATCCGTCAGCTCCTACATACATACATACGTACATACGTACGACAGCCAATAATGCCGCCGGCCGAGAGCGCCCAATAGCCCAATAGCGGAAGGACCAATGGAAGGACAAATGAAATCAGGTAGTGCAACACACAGCGGCAAGCAGGAGCGGCGAAACAGCGGGACAGAGAATTAAACATGGTTTAACGATTTGTAATAATATCCCAGTGCAGCCCCTGTATGTATGTAAGTAATAAGGAACCTCTTAGCGAGGTCATCGATATATCTATGATTTAGCGTCTTGTTAGTAGCTTAGTGTCGGTAAAAAATATAATGACTGCAGGGTCTATCGTGTAATATAATAGAGTGGAAACCCCGGAAATAGATGTTATGTAGAGCGAATCATATGCATAGTATGGAAGTTGTGTATACATATTTGCCTTGTTTCAATACATACATTATATATGCCTAATAATAAAACGCAAACCTGGTTTTGAGACTCTCCTCCGCTTTACTCTCGGTGATAAGATAAGAGTACACATGGCATGAGTACGACAATGGCGCATAAGTACAACAATGGTAGCGTAACCAAAATCGTGCTAATATTGATACACATGTAGCATGTAGCGCCCGAAGAAACCCAACAGCATGCAAACGTTGATTATTATTGGGGACTAGTGCACATGTGAGATGATGTTGAGGATGCCCGCCAAGCCGGATGCCCCCGCTGCCTAGGACATGTATCCACGCACGCGTTCAATCCACTACTAATAAGATAATGGGCGAACATGTAATGGGCACTTTAGGCGCTAGCTAGCACCACCGCCGCATCATCATCATCATCATCCAGTCGCCGCGGCCGGGGGGCAAAGCAGGGGGAGAGCCATACATACACATGCTGTTCGACGCAAATCGGGGGTCAGCATTTCTCAAGGGGGCCAGCCAGCTGCCCTTTCTGTCCCCCACCCGCCTTGTGAGTCCCCGGTTCGTCGTACGCCATGATAGGGTAGCCCGAGTGCATCCAACCAGCGCTGATGTCCGCATCCACCAGGAAGCGCTCTATGGCAGCAGCAGCAGCAGCAGCAGCAGTAGCAGCAGCAGCAGCAGCAGGAGCAGGCATATTATGGATGTACTATTGTATGTACGTCTGTAAGTGTGTTTGTATGTGCATGGTGAGGGTCGGTACGGTTGGGTTAGTTGTTAGTTGGGGGGGGTTACTATGCGCAGATATGCATATGCATGTGTAGGTGAGGCAGGATGATTAGAAGCCCGCGCGCGGGGGCGGCAGGCGGCAGGTTACTTGCGCATCGGGGCGCAGCTGCACGTGGGGTTGTGGCCGGTGTTCTGAGCGATGATCCGCTGTTTATTAACACCATCACTACATGTCCCCGTCGTGGGCATATGGGCATATACGTGGGTACGTAGTTACGTGAAGATTGGTGCTTGCTGGGCCAATCGGGGGTTACTGGATTGCGTTGCATTGCCGCTGTTGTTGTTGTATATGTTTACCGGCCGGGCGCCTTTGGGGACAATATCGTCCCCGATGACGCGGATGTGCGCCTATAGACGGTCTATTGGAAGGCCCTAAGTGCAAAGTGGTGTTTATCTAACCAAAGATGTCAACATAATATTATCCTAGACGTATCTTTGCATTGTTACACGAAACCGCATCATCACCATCTATCTGCTTGCTCGCTTGCTCGTGATGCAAAATGACGAATCAAGGCGGGGTTATATGCACGGAACATGCAGATATACATGCACATAGACTTATAGAAGATACATACAGACATGCACATGCAGACATACAAACATACAGACATACCCTCCCGTGCTCGAGCGCTGGTTATGTTGGCAAGGCTCGCCATGTGGTTCATGACCAGATTCCAGTGCTCCAGCAACGGAACTGGGTTGGTGATGTTACGAATAACCTACAACAACAGCAACAACAGCAACAACAGCAACAACACAACAACAGCAACAACAGCAACAACAGTTTGTTGTCCGTAGATTGTGCCTTGTGTGTATGAAATAGATTGGGACGACCGTCCCCTACATTAAAGAAATCGCTTTTCAGGCTTGGGCACGATCCATAAGACGATTAGACAATTTACAGACGACGCATATACGTAGGTACCCTATATGGCCCTATGGCAGCTGCCAGGCCGCGGCCCTAACACTGCCCCCTATACCTAGCTAGACCGCCGGCGGGTTGAGTGCCGGACATCCCCTTGTCTTATCTCTGCCAAAATGGCCATGTAATAGCTGGAGTCATGTCAGCTAGGTGCGACACATTGTGTGGCAGCTGGCCGCTGCTGAAAAGGCCTCTCGAGATGCTGGTGGACGCGCTTAGCGCGTATTTGTAGACGTTATGTGTGCCGTACTGTGTACTACAGCAGCTACTACAGGCCACTTGGAGACCCCAAGCTTGCATGCGTTGTAACGGTCTCCATCTGCCGTGGGCTTGTAAACGTGCGTGACAGATATAACTGCTGGCTCCTGAATACACCGCACACATGCACGTATGCACGTATGCATGAACAATTGGCCACACACGCACGTGCGTTCATTCCGCGCATTCCCCCACCCACCCTGGAGGGCAGCATGAGCACGAACTTCCCACTGTCCAGCTCGGCCCAAGGCGCCGGGTAATTCCGGATGGTGCTGTTCCAATCGTTCTGCGCAGGCGGCGGCGGCGGCAGTGGTAGTGGCGGCGGCGGCGGCAGTGGCAGCGGCGGCGGCGGCGGCAGTGGTAGTGGCGGCGGCGGCGGCAGTGGCAGCGGCGGCGGCGGCGGCAGTGGTAGTGGCGGCGGCGGCGGCAGTGGCGGTGGCGGCGGCGGCGGCATGCACAATAAACATACCATGCAGTGAAAAGGGCAAGAGCGTTTGCGTAAGACGTACATTAAAAGATATAATGCATACAAAGCAAGACTCAGATAGGCATATGCACGTACAAGTATTGATCTTTTCCTGAACCAGCAGTTGTAGCAGCTGTACGGCAGTGGTGGTGGGTGCGGAACCTGAGCGATCCACTGAGAAGTTGACTAGTGTGACTGGATGAGGGTGCCCCGAAATACCCGCGGGGAAGGCACAGGGTTTCGCAGGGTAGCGGCCGCAGGGTGAAGATATGACCCCCCTGTCACACACATCAAACACATCGTCGATAAATACGCGCTAATATGGAGCTCTGCCGACATCGATAGAGGCCTTTCCAAAGGCCGGCAACGGCAACTACAGCAGTATGTAAGTAAGGCAAGGCAGAACAACGAAAGAATGCCGAATATTATTATTAGTCCTTCGAGCCACAAAAGCGCTAAACCCTAGGTATGAACCTTCCGCCAGGAAGCCCAATACTACGGTAGTACACATAGCCGTCACCGAATCCATTTTAAAAAGCTGTCTGCCCTGCCCTGTCTCGCGTTACACTCCCACCTTGTGCGTGCTCCTAACATATAATTTACATATTTTGACCAGATGCAAAAAATACACCTCACCAGCTGAGTTACATTCAGACGGAAGTACGGCGCCCGAATGGCACCCCCGATGGTAATCTGCACGAGCGTACATGTACGGAACCAGGTTGTTAGGATAGGTCAGCGCATACGGCAGGATTACCTAAGCATATGCCGTACTTGTAACGGCCCAGTCACGCATGCCAGCCAATTCATCATCGCATACACACAAAGCAAGTCATGACTTGCTTGATCATCATCATTTTGCACACGCACACGCACTAATAAGCAACTGTACTTGCATACAAAGATACACAAGCACTAAGTTGTGGCGCCGTTGATCCGCTAGATTTGGTTGGATGCTGGTGGTGAGTTGCCGAACCCAACGAATACATTCTGAAGTCGGATGGGGTGACGGATTCGGGTGCCCCTCTAGCAGGGGAGAGCAGGGAACTGCCTTGGGAAAGGGGGCCGCTGGTGAAGCTTAACCACCCTGTAACGACATACATACCTGCACACTTCCCAGGGTAGCTCCCACGGGAACCAAAATGAACACCAGACCCCCCAGGGGGTTCGCGGCGGAGGTTATTGTGGTATTCAAGTCAAAGCGATTGACGATTTGGGGCACTCGGTACCAGGTCGCCTTGCCGGTCAGGTCGTCCGTGTGGGCACCGATCTGCACCATAATCATGATGACGACCATCATTAAATTATCATTAATATATTATTATTTATCACTTCTATTATTATTACATAAATTATTGGCGCAATAGTTTCGTTTCGTACATCGAGGATAATAACAACAATTATAATCTTCATAATAATTATATACCGTTACTCGGCGCCACAATAACGGCTATTGACCGCCCATGGCCCCCCCTCCCCCGGCTATTACGGACGGGGCCCCCCAACACTTGTGACGGGAACTTGCTTGTAACTTGTAAACTTGTCCATGTCCATCCGGTCACGATGTGAGCTCCTCCAGATGCTAGCAAGCTAGCTAGCTAGCTAGCTAGCTGCACAACAAAATGCGAGCGACATACATGCACACGTACGTACCTGCACTTGCAGCCCCCTCCCCACGGCACTCAAGGTCGACAAGGTAACGGTGATGGCCTGGCCCGGCAGCGCGTAGAGCCCGGTGGATCGCCACACTGGGGAGTCCCAGTTGGCGTAGCCGAAATGGTATCCCGGGCGGTTGTAGGTACCGTTGATGGTATAACTAACAATAACCGAGGGCGGGTTGCCGGAGGGCACTCCAGGGAAGGCAGCGGCAGAAAGGGAAGGCCTTATGCCCGAGATTTCGCCGCGACGGACAGTCCAGGCGTCAATGGCGACCTGTTGGTTGCATGTATGTATGTATGTGCGTGCGTATGTGTGCATACACAAGCAAGATAGAGCATGGAAGATTAGTCAACATGGTGACATAGCTAGCTAGGGTTTATACCTATATATGATAAGGTATATACCTGTCTATAGGTGAGTAGGTAGTTAGCTGATGACTGACTACTCATAAATAAACACATATACATATATATAATATAACAGGATAAATAAACACACACATATAATATATAATATATAATATATAATATAACATATAGCATGCATGCATGGCTGGTCCTCCTGGGCGCCGGCCATGTGGTAAATAGAGCTGCTGGCCGCTGAAAAGGCCTCTCGAGATGCTGGCGGAGCGCCTTATTATTAGCGCATAAATTTATAGGCGATGCGTGTGCCATACTACTACAGCCATCTACAGGCAAGAACCTCGCGCATTCTTACGTCCAGAATGTTGCCCGGGTAGCCCGCCTTGGCGTCCAGGGGGTTGTTCGGGCCCACGGCTACGCCCGAAGAGGGCCGTGCGGCCGTGAGCAAGGCCCAAAGCGGAGCCAGGCCACTGGCCGCGAAACTCGCGCGCGAAGGTAGTGCGTTGAGCAGGGCGTTCAGGGCCGTGTTCGCTGATGGGGTGTGTGGTAACGAGGGACACATGCGAGGGACACATGCGTTCATGCAGACGAATGGTACGGCAGACCGCAGACAGTAGTTGCAGCAGCAGCCCAGCCAGGCAGGCAGGTGGTGCCCGCAGCAGGCAAGGCAGCAGACGCAGTACTCGTCAGCGGTTGGATGACTCCCTTCAAATGCATTGCATGTAGTAGTGAGCAAACGCAAGCAGTGACAGCCGTCTGCTTCCTGTATTCAAGCCATGTGTATGAGTGTGCCGATTAAGTTCCGCAAGAGCGGGTACGGCGCCCGCGCACGTCATCACGTATGTACGTATGTCGGTAATAATGCACACAAGCATGTAAAGCTACGAAACTGCCAACCAGCGCATAGCTGATTGCCAACAACGTCAACATACCTATCGGGTAAAGCGCCGTGTTTGAGAAAGTGGCGGTGCCGTTATTTACGGCGGACAGGAGAGTCTGCGTCCGGCCAGCAGCAGCAGCAGCAGCAGTAGGTGGGCAGGGCAACATCACTATGTAAGTAAGAAGTAACAGGGACGGGGATGGGGACGGGGACGGGGACGGGGACGGGGACGGGGACGGGGACGGGGACGGGGACGGGGACGGGGACGGGGACGGGGACGGGGACGGGGACGGGGACGGGGACGGGGACGGGGACGGGGACGGGGACGGGGACGGGGACGGGGACGGGGACGGGGACGGGGACGGGGACGGGGACGGGGACGGGGACGGGGACGGGGACGGGGACGGGGACGGGGACGGGGACGGGGACGGGGACGGGGACGGGGACGGGGACGGGGACGGGGACGGGGACGGGGACGGGGACGGGGACGGGGACGGGGACGAACATGTGCAATAGTGCTCATTGGCCGCTGAAAAGGCGGCCTCTGCTGCTGCTGAGGTAAAGTAAAGCGGTGCAGCTCAGAGCGTCCGTTGCAGGCAGATGAGCGCTTTAGCACGTATTGTTTTGACGTTTTGTGTATCCCTACTGTACGAAAGCTATACGACATGCATTCGCCCGTGCCCCGGCATTCTAGGACCATCAGGATGTTTGACCGCGTTACTGCAATAATAACATTATATAATAACACACAGCCTCCGTTGCTCCGCGGCGCGTTGGCGACTATGTACGTACTGTTTGTTGCGATGACACTACCACCCTTTAGCGACTGTGTACCGGCCGCCAACCATCTGCTTGATAAGCCCTAAGCTGATAAGTGACTACCGCCCAGACACTACCGCCGATGGCGACGTGAAGTAGCGCAAGTATGCAATACACACACACATACATACACACACACTCACCGCGACAAGATAGGTATTGTAGTAAAGCCATTCCGCTGGTGGGGAGGAAATGGAGGGCGCCGCCTGCATTCACCATCAACATCATCACACAGTACCTCTAGAGGAACACGGGGCGGTGTGGTGGCGGCTGGATAGGCGGATAGGCGGATAGGGTATCATCGATGTCGATAGATAGGTGCACGCAATACTATCACCTCGCTCCAGGAGTTGCATCCTGTAGTGCGTGTATCATTCATTGCCTGTTTCACCTGCCACCATTGCCAATCTGTTTCCTTTTCTGTGTAGTCCACCGTGATATACCACCACCAAGCAGCGACCGACATGCGTGTGTGTATCCCACCCGGCGGGTATCCCAGGTCCGGTCCAGTGAAGGCGTCCCTGCGGAGGCCCATGTCCTCATCCATCCCACTATCGTAATGGCTCCATCTAGATATCCATCTAGATGGTTCTACGGAGGCGCACGTGCATGCGCTCAGGGAATGACAAACACATGTCGTTCTCACAGTGGCATACGTGCATGGCGTCTGTAGTTATATAAACTGTGCACTTTAATAAGGCGCTCCGCCAGCATCTTGAAAGCGAGGTCTTTTCAGCGGCCTCCAGGCTACTTCGTACCACACCCACCTTGAAGCCGTACTGGTAATCCGTGGTGAGGGCCAGGCCAAACGGCCACAACACCTTGTTTAGAGTCAAGTCTGTGAAGATGTTGGCATTGGGATGTGAGTTGCTCCACCACCAAGCGAGGCCTGCAGCAGATGAGTTCGTGGATGGATGGATGGATGGATGGATGGATGGATGGATGGATGGATGGATGGATGGATGGATGGATGGATGGATGGATGGATGGATGGATGGATGGATGGATGGATGGATGGATGGATGGATGGGCCTGGTGGGAAGCTATGGAGCAATAATTGTTGTGCACATACGCAGGCGAGCAAGGCGAGCAAGGCGAGGTGGCGAACAAAGGATCTCAGCATCGGGAGGGGGATTAACATCGCGTATTCATCAATGACGTGTGCCGTATTGTACGACAGCTACAACATTCGTGCCCCGTTCGAGTAGGTGCACGCACAGTCGTCCTACAGCACTGCTGTGTCAGCACTGCTTCTGGTGTTTTCCACAAGATGCATGCCCAGCTAGACATGTAGCTCCCGCGCGAACTTACCGCCAACCAACAGTCCCTTTCCGGTTTGGTTGACAAAGTTGATCAACTCCGTCACCTGACTGTCAGTGTACTCTGTGTACGGGTCAATCCTGCAGATTGGTGCGTGGTGGTCAACAAGGCAGGTAGGTAGGTTGGCAGCTTCTAAAATGGACGACGCACCCGAAGTCGAAGTGCATTATGCAACCCTGTTCCTTGTTCCTTAGGGCATTTCAGTGATTGTTATTATGAGGATGAGTTTGCCTACCTGTACTTAAGACACACCTGCACCTGCACCCTTATCCAGGGGTGTGGCCACACCCTTATCCACACACCCGCAGCCGCAGCCGCACTCACTCACCAATAGATATCGACGCTGGAACTTTGGGTAAAACTTGACAGTCCTATGGTGCTTGTGGTTACTGTAATTCCCGTCAGAGCCTGTATCAAGCAGACACACAGGGAGTAGGGCAAGCGACATGCGCATCAGCCAGTCGGGTCAGGAGATTCTGTTATCGTGGCACGTGGCATTGTATTTTATTTTATGTACATCAGGCGGATGAGCCGCAGCGTGACTATCTAAGATAGCAGCTATATTTCTTCACGAAAGTTCCAGAAAATATTTCCTTGAAATTTCGCCGGTGCGCCATTCCTTGCGTAGGACGGTCGCCTGTGAAATGGCACCCCCGAACTGGCTTCAAGTTCGTTCACGGACTACAGCATGTCCAATTTGCGCATTTTAATTTTGAATACTAGAGACGTATTACCTATATCCTGGAAACACCTTGTAACGAAAAATCTTTCTAGGTTCTTGCGTATGTAAAATACTTGATCTTCCATTGATCGCAGCCTGTTACAATATAGAGGGAAGATCCCAATTTCATATATCAGAGCGAGACCTACAGACGACGAAGCTTACGATGCTGGGGGAGCGCCTCAGCGCGTATTTGTGTGCCGTACTATCCACAGCTACTACGTAGCGCCAGCAGTTCCGGCGGGGTGGGTGGGGGAAACTGCCCCAAAGGATTTCATTTCCCTATTAAGAAAGACAGCGACACTGGTGACCACGTGGCCCTAAGCACTACGTAGATCAGTCGTCTGACAGCTAGCTGCACATGCACATCCCCGCATACCCCGCCAGCAGCGCCCTCGCACCGTCTTGACGCCTGCCATGCCGTCGGCGGCCCAGCCGCTGGATGATGGTGATGCCATTCGAATGCTGGTCTTGCCGGCAGCCATCCAGCGAACAGCATTGAGGACCATCTTGTCCCAGCCATCATTTGCTGAGCAGCAGCCTGCGCAGCGAAAACGCAGTAAAAGAGCAGAGCGTGTCCTCAAGTATGGTTTCTTAATTCCGTACGGGAGGCGGTAGCAGTAGGTGGGATGTCTCCTGGTAATAAGGTAGGGGATGAGGCGCATGTGCGCGTGTACGTATGGTTGCACAGTTTCCTTGCGGTTAATATTGCGCGTTATCGCACCCCTGGCTACCGTACAAAACACAAGGATGAAGGACGGGATGGACCGGGGGGGGATAAGGGGGGGGGGAAACGGGGGGGGAACAGGGGGGAAACGGGTGGGGTGGGGGGAACGGGGGTTTAACAGGAGGGCGCTAACGGGGGGTTGGGGGACGGGGGAAAATGGGAGTGAGAGCGAAGGGCGGAAAAACGGCGTTGGCGGAGGGAGGGAAGGGGAGACGGGGGGAAGGGGAAATGGGAAAGCACAACAGTAATAAGACTGCGCGCTTAGGGCGGATTGGGGGTCCAAAAATTCCCGGAGCGAAGGGTTAAAACAGTAGACAGGAGGCCCGGGAGGGAGGGAGGGAGAGCAGCCCCCTAGGAAGTGCCCTATGTACGGACCACGTAGGGTTCTTGTTTGGAGTCTAGGTGCACTAAGAGATGGTTCGGTTTTGTCGCTGTGGCTCCGCAGCCATTACCCTAGTCAGTAGGGCCGGCCGAGAGTGCTGAGGGGCG